CAGAACATCGTTTGAATACTCGTCTAATGGACCTGAGACTGAAGAGATGACGCGCTTTGTTGAAGCGCTACGCGGGAAAAAAATATCAGGAAATTCTTTTTTCGGATGAAAAAATTTTTACCGTAGAAGAGAGCTACAACAAACAAAATGATAAGGTATACGCACACAGTAGTGAAGAAGCGAGCAACCGTATTCCGCGTGTCCAACGAGGTCATTTTCCATCCTCGCTCATGGTATGGTTGGGAGTTTCTTATTGGGGCTTAACAGAGGTACATTTTTGTGAGAAAGGTGTAAAAACGAATGCAGTTGTGTATCAAAATACAGTCCTGACGAACCTTGTGGAACCTGTTTCTCATACCATGTTCAATAACAGGCACTAGGTATTCCAACAAGATTCGGCGCCAGCTCATAGAGCGAAGAGCACACAAGACTGGCTGGCGGCGCGTGAAATCGACTTCGTCCGGCACGAAGACTGGCCCTCCTCAAGTCCAGATTTGAGTCCGTTAGATTACAAGATATGGCAACACTTGGAGGAAAAGGCGTGCTCAAAGCCTCATCCCAATTTGGAGTCACTCAAGACATCCTTGATTAAGGCAGCCGCCGATATTGACATGGACCTCGTTCGTGCTGCGATAGACGACTGGCCGCATGACCTGACTAGGTACATACGGGTCTTTAAGAATCGTTAAGAAAAAATTGATTTTCCAAAGACGGGTGCTAGGTTCACACAACTTGTGTATGGTCTGTATTTGTCTAATAAAATAAATAAATAAATGCAACTTTGAAGTTTCGACCCCAAAAGATTTCACTGTCGTACTGGAAAATGATTAAAAAAGAGCACGCACTATAAAATATCCAACAGAGTAGCAAAATAAGTTCTTTGTAAAGGCTGCTTCGTAAGATATTCATAACACAAATGAAAATTTTCGGAAGTGGTAGACAAAAGAAGTGTCTTTGACGTCATCCGTTTCATAATATTATACGTTATTTTATACTAGAGATAATTTAGATCTGATAAAGTATCTACAATAATAGACACTCACATAGGTTTGTTTACAAAAATATGTCTGAAGGAGTTGCATTGCATGACAGCTGCCTACTGGTGCGGATAAGTGTGTACATTTTAGCAAAAACATAAGTAGACGGGTAAGTACCTGGCTATGAATTTAATAATCGTACTAATCTCATTAATCGCATTGGGTTAGTTAAATGTGTAAATAGTTATATTTTTATGGCAGTATTATTTGTTTTTTTTTTGCATTTATGGCTTTCTCCGTTTTCCACAAAAATTTCGCCAATTTCCCGTGTGGAGAGAGTTAAGTGTACTTCTTTTTCCTTGAGTATATTCCAGTTGCTAAAACAAATAAAACAACATAAGGCTTCACAAATAACCTTAGTTTTAAACATGATATTATTTAAGTTTGTGATATATCTTTATGATATTGTCAATGTGATTTAGGTCTAAAGGCATAATTGGAAATCAAGAATTAAACAACATGTAGCGTCTTGTTCGTCGAAGGTCTACTCACAAGTTTCTTGAATCGAGATAAGTCGACAATGAACTTGATGCGAGCCGCCCGACAACCGCCGCCGTGCTCGACTCCAGCAATCACAGGACTCCAATGCAAAGGTTGCAATGCAAAAAAACACGCACACAACACGACACACTTTTGAGAGGCCGGCACTACGAAATCATCACACAAATGTCGCTCGTGTCACGCCAAAGATACACGTCGCTGTTATGGTTTCAGTGAAGATGCATTCTTATTAGATTTTTTAAAGGAAAAAAAGTTTTGTTTCGTCCGACCACGCGCCGGCTAAGCGCAACAAAAGCGCAGACGCAAGCAGCGAACTGCCCCGACCGGTGTGAAGTAGAGTGCGCGGCGCGCGCGATCCGATCGTGACCGGCCGGCGAGTCCCTCCCGCCCCGCCCCCCCCCCCCCCCCCCTCCCCGCCTCCCACTACTCAGCTCGCGACTCACTTCGCCTGGCTTTAGTTTTTATAAAAAAGGATCGAGATACGATGAATTTTAACAATTAATAATTTTGCAGTTCTATTTTTGGACTCCTTTAACATTCAACAAGAGTAAATCACTTAAAGGAAGTATTTGTTTTGATATAGATGATACTCTCCTGTATGTGATTATTGAAAATGTGCGATCTTTTTTCGTTACCGTTAACACATTAAACATTTGAGATGAAAGAGCCCGGACCGCAGAACATTGATCCCTCTTGAACGAACCATCTGAAGAATTATAAAATTCCAAACTATTTAAATTCGGCTACTAAATATTTATCTTCTGTTATATTTAAGACTAAAAGCTACTAAAGCTTTAGTGAATGGTAGCGATTCTAGGTTGTTTCAGGAATATTTGGATAGATGAACCATTTGGTGTCAACTGAACAAAATGACTCTTAATATTAAAAAATGCAAACTGATCTAATGTACTTGGAACCCAAATTTTGTAAAAACTGCATACAGCATGGCATGGCAGGCATTAAATTCGCGGATTAGGTGTTCAACTTGATTTTAAACCTAAGTTTGATAAACATAAATACGTATGTCATGAAACCATTAAAATATTAGGCTTTGTACTAAACCAGTGCGGAACTTTAAAAAAATCTTTCAGTAAAATAATCATGTACAACTGTGACGACGCATTCCTGGAAAGGCGCAGCCTTTCCGTCAATAAATCAATAAAATCAGTGCAGGAAACAAAAATAAATAAAATCGGTGCATCTAACCCGTTGAAACTTGTTTCATTTAATAAGTGATGTACGTGAAAATCTAAGAAACAAATATGTACAACTCCTTAGTAAAAAAAGAAGTCGTCTAGAATACTGTGTTTTGATATGGTCCCCTACCTACAAGGGACGTATACATACACAACGTATTGAAAAATTGCAAAGGATGATTAGGTGGCATCTAACATACTCTTGCAACTTGAATAGGAAACTTACGTCGATTGAGCAAAGGTTAAAATATTTAAAAATGGTATCACTGGAAGATCACAGGAAGGCGGTGGACTCAATGTTTTTTAATAGAATTGCAACCGGCTCCATTGATCCGTATCATAGCCAACATCGAGCAGACGGAGAGCTGTAAACCATACTTTCAAGAATATCAGATACTTCCACTACCGTGTTTGTATATTTTGGAAATGTGCAAGTTTGTACGCAAGCATAGCGAATTCTGCACTAGACGACAAGATATTCCATCTAGATACACATCTTGACACAACAATAAATTAATATTGCCTAATTCTAGACTAAAACTATCAAGCACATTTAATTCATCTATTAAAATTTATAACAAATTGCCTAATACAATAATGAATGAAAATAATTACTTGACATTTAAAAATAAATTAAAGGAATTTCTAATTATTGAATGTTATTCTAATGTAAATGAATATTTTAATGATAAGATCAGTAATTATTAATATACATGTACAAATAATTGATTTTGTTATTTATTATATTTTATATTTTATTTAGTGAAATTATTATTATTAGTATTTATAATTAAATCAGATAGTGATAATCTAAATAAAAATCCAATTATAACAATCAAAAATAAACATATGAAACAATCTCTAACATCCAATTATAATTTTACTATTAGTGTTGTTCTTTTGGGAAGCGTATCCTCTCTTCTAATAACCAATTGCGTGCCCGACGGGGTCTATAATGCTCATATTTATATAAGTACCTACCACCCACTGTACACATTATGGTTGCAATAAATGATTTGAGTTCGAGTTTGATTGCCCTGATTTGCTTTATAACATTAACTAGTGGCCCGCCCTCGTTTTGCTTCGGTGTAGAGCTGTAGTGTAGACTATAGTTTTTATTCAAAGGCTTGTATTATACACAATGACCTTCTTCATAATAATTATAAACCTTCCATTCCAAGTAAAAAAATTGTTGCGTAGTTTAGGACCCGTTGTACCGAATGCAAAATTGCTCTGCTGTTCCGATTTGAAAAATCTTTTTGTATTGGACAGTGTATATATCGAGGAAGGCTAAAATAAAAAATAAAATAAAAAGAAACAGAACAGGCAGCAGGACCAAAGGACCGAAGGACCGCGGACCAAAGGACCGCGGACCGCAGACCCAAGGACCGCGCTTACAGTGTGTGATGTACGGTATCTGTTTTAGTTATTACACTATTACTACATACACAATCAATCTATCAATTATAAATAATCAATTAATATTACATGGTCGCCACTACCCAATTATTGCATACATCATTCAATCCATCAATTATAAATAATCAATAACTATTACATGATCGCCACTTTAGGCTGACTCTTAATATCTATTAATTAATTCCCTTTATTTATTAATTTTTTTATTTTTTTTGTTACAGAAATACTAACATTTATATCAATTATTTTCACTTATTACTAGATTTTTTTTATAACATGTTATTAAACCAGTACTACTTAAATTAGATTAAATCAAATTAATTGATGCAGCCTGTGAAATGAGCTATGATTTCCATAGTGTTACCAAAGCGACATTGAATACATTTTAGGTTGATAAAATAATCCAATAAAATAAAAAGAAACAGAACAGGTAGCAGGACCAAAGGACCGAAGGACCACGGACCGCGGACCGAGGACCGAGGACCGAGGACCGAAGACCGATGACCGATGACCGCGGACCGCGGACAGAGGACCGAAGGACCGCGGACCATTGCTCCCAGACAGGATTCTGATGAATGGGTTTTTAATATAGATAGATGTCAAAGAAGAAAAATATAGTACAATGTCAAGATAAGAAGTGACCCATCAGCGGTCCCTCATTCGCAGGAACCCCCAATCAACCCCCGCCACGCCCTCCAGGACAGAGGGGGGGGGGGCGGGCCTCCGGGGGGCACGTAGGGAGCCGGCTCATTACTAAGATATAGTAGCCCCGGGGGTTGGGGCCCGCGGCCGCCAAAATGGCGTTTGACGTGACTATTGATGATGACGCCGCAGAGGATGCACTGCATCACTCTACGGCTGTTCCTATCGTGCGAATACGTCCAATATGGCGGCGGCTGGGGCGGCGCAGGGTCGGCGGGGGCAGCCGCGCGAGGAGGCCCAAGCGGGGAGCGCGACCTTGTTCTTGAACTTCGAGGTTGAATTTCGAGGAAGCCGAGGATCCGGAGGTGCTCGCCGCCGACGAAGTTGATGGGTGCGAGGACGAGGTCGAGGAGGAGGAGGAGGCCCCCGGAGTCCCCAAAGCCCTCGATGGCCCCTGGGCCCCTGCCGAGCAGCTCGGGGACCGAGGCAGCAGTGAGGGGCGCCTTCCGGCCCCGGCACTAGGGGAATACGACGCGGCCCGGCGCGGCCCCGCGGGTTCCTCCGGCTCGGCGGGCAGAATAACTTGCCTGACACGGTGACGTGATCCAGCGGGCGCCGTCGCAGGACGGCGGGACGGCGGGTGGCCCGCAGACGGCGAAGAGTCCCCCGGGAGGGGGGACTCAGAATAGGGAGGGCAGGACGGGGCCCTCTCGTGCCCCACCTCCTCCTCGGAATCCTCCCGGTAGTCTGGCCACCTATGGCAGAACGTAGCCGGTGCGGAGGGGGGGCGCCTCGACTGCGGCGAAGCCCTCGGAGAGGGCGACCGGCGACGCGGCGGGGTGCGGAGGGTCGAGGCAGGTTCCGGGTCCCTAGCCCGTGCCAGGTATTCACTTATTTCCATCAGTTGAGGGGCCACGGCCGCGATTCTCTCCAGCATCTCCCTGTCACGGAGGCACCGGAGGCTGAGGCAGCGTGGTCTCATCATTTCAACTGCGGAACTTGGTTTTATTACTTGGTATTTGATCACGTCACTTATTCTCACTTCACCAATCAATGCAATCAACTTTCACTATAGTGTAATGCTTATAATTTGTTGGATGGCAGCTCGGTTAGGTGCATACTAACGTTGGAATGAATACAGTTCTAGGTTATCACTAGTATTGCATATGACGCCTTGTAGCCGGTATAGCGCGGGTGAATGTTTTTTTTTTTTGTTGTTTTTTTTTTTGTTAAAGTTCTACCTACGTTCGGTCCTAGGACCGAGGACCGATGCGAGAGATGGCCGTCTATTTGCTTACTCTGACGATGCTTTGGATTTTAGGTTGAGGAGTGGGTTGGGTTAGGTTAGGTTTTTTTTTTTGGTAGCCCCGATTTGTTTCAGGTCTTTTTTAGTCTTTTTTGTTTGTTTTTACTTATGGTATTTGATTTATCATGCTTGCTCTTTTGCATGTGGTGCCTTTTCTTTTGCACCTTTTATTTCTTTTTTCAATATTTTTACAGTGTATTCTTATTCTCTATTACATTATATTTTACTTCCATTCTATTCTCTATTACAGTATATTCATTTCTTTTTTCTATTTTTAGTTACATCTTACAATTATTTCTTTATATTAGTTACATTTTTACAATTATTTCTATACACACACATTTGTTCAACATGTTCTACTTACTTATGTATTCATTGCTATGTTTACAATATTTCTTATTTTTGCTATTACCCATTGGGCTTTCTTCTTATGTACTAGTATTTACAATATGTATGTTTATAGGTTTGTCCTATATCAATCGTCTTTGTTTCTTTCAATGACCTTTTTTACTATATTTTTGCTAAACTTAATAAATATTTCTCTATCTTTGCTTTCCATCATAATTTCCTTCAGGTTATCCTTTCTAAGTGGTGTGTTAAGTACTGTCTGTGCGTCGCGTCTTTCTCTGCTGTAAAGGGGGCAATCTAAGAGGACATGAAAAATGTCCTCTTCGGTGTTTGGGTCACATACGCATCTCGGGGTATCCTTCTTTTTAAACCTATGGAGGTAGGAGAAACCTCCATGCTCGGTAAAGATCTGTGCAGCTATTCCATCCATTTCAATCTTTCTTACAACACCGAAGGCACTCTCTCCGCAAGGAAAGAATGCCTTCGTTGTGGCCGCCGTGTTTTCGCTCCTATACCTGCTGTCCCATTTTGCTTTCGTCACTGCGCGTACATGTCGCTTGACGAAAGAGATGGGACAGCAGTCATAGTGCGATTTGCTCTTCAACCCGAGGGCCGCTCCCTTCGCCAGCTGATCAGCTCTCTCGTTTCCGATCACCCCAACGTGGGCCCTGATCCAATACAGGGACACGGTTTGACCGTTGTCCCTGAGTTGGGCCAGGTTGCCCTGAATCGCCTTGGTGATCGGATGCGAGGAGTCTGGATCCGCTAGCGATTGGAGAGAAGACCTCGAGTCGCTGAGCACGGCCGCCTCCTTCCATCCTTTCCCTAATACACACTCCGTGGCTTGGAGGATAGCATACAGCTCGGCTTGGAAGACTGTACAGTATGGCTCCAGCTTAAACTTTCGGGAAAGGACTTCTGCCTGCCCTTTCCAACAGGTCAGGGCGGCTCCCACCTTTCCCTCCAGTTTACTGCCATCTGTATAGATCTTCACAAGACCTTCTGCCAGTTTGCTATCCTCCTCCTCGTTTTCCAGACATTCAAAACCTATCATACTGCTGCTACCGGGGTGGTCCGAATCCATGAAGGATACCCTTTCCTCCACCTTTCTCCCCCTCAATACTGCCTGGGGTTTCCCTCGCTTCGCCTCATAGAGCTGGGATGCTTCATGGACCCTTAGGTCCAGCGGAAGCAGCCCCGACAATATTAAGGCGGAGTTGAGTGACACCGTCCTGTAACACTTTGCGATTTTTTGAGCGAACCCCCTTTGGACAACAGAGAATTTCTTTTTTGTTATAATTTTATCGGCTTCCCCCTGCCAAACACTTGCCGCATACAGGATGATCGGCTCTATGACCGCTATATATATGGTTCGAATGATTTCAGGTTGGAGGCCCCAAGTCGTTTTTGCGGCTCTTTGGATTCCTTTGAATATATTTAACGCTTTGCCGCAGATGTATTTTATATGATTATTAAAGGTTAATTTTCTGTCTATTATTAGGCCAAGTATTTTAATTTCATTAGTAATTTCTATTTGGACTCCCCCCATGGTCAGTACCGGCGCGTCGAATTTTAGCTTCTTTGTTATGATCATAGCTTTGGTCTTATGTGCTGCAAAGTTGAGCTTATTCGACGCGCCCCATCTCCTGACTAGGGAGAGTCCCATATTGGCCTTATCTTGTACTGACTTAGAGTCTCCACTGTCCACCATCAATATGATGTCATCCGCGAATGCCTGGCAGTTAATGTTGGCGTCGGTGAGCTCGTTCAGGAGAGGATCCAGCAAGATGTTCCAAAATAAGGGGCCCCCTATGGACCCCTGTACGCAACCCTTGTTGGTCGGTTTGCTGAACTCCTCTCCCGCGTATCTCACCGTCACCATTCTATTGTTAAGATAACTACTTACTAAGTTTCTAAGGTTTCTTGGGCAGTTCATGCTTTTTAATTGGTAGCGGATCCGCGGCCACCACGCATTGTCGAAGGCCCCCTCTATATCCAGCGAGATCAGGGCCACTATTCTCTTCTCCGCCACTTTGCCTCTGATCTGCTGGACCATGTCGTAGAGGGAGTCCTCCGTACCGCGCTGCGGCATGAACCCGTACTGCCTCACATTTAGTTTGGGTAGTATATGCCATTTTAATCGACGCACTAACATTTTTTCAAATATTTTTCCTAAAACTGGCAGCAAACCTATTGGCCTGTATGATTTGGGTTCCTGGTAGTTGTCTTTGCCGGGTTTTCTTAGCATTATTATTGTCGCTTTTTTCCATGCGTTCGGGAAGTGGGCCAGGGCTAGGCATTTGTTGAACATCGCGAGAGCTAGTTCGCTATCTGCTTTAACAGTCGCTGCGCATATGTCGGCTGTGAAACCGTCTCCACCCGGTGCCTTTTTCGGGTTGAACGAGTCCACAGCGTGCATCAGCTCGGCTTCCGCAAATGGGGGGTCATGAACATCATGTTCATTTCCCTCATTCGCTTCCGCCGCGCCGACCCGCACTGCCCTGTGGACTTCGCTTTCCCCTACTTCAGTGTCATCGGGGTAAAAGGTCTCAGCCATTATGCGCACCGACTGTTTGGGGCTGGTGGTGATGCCCCCTCTCGGGATTGGCAGATCTTCGCCTTGTGTTCTTGTTCTGCCTATCACCTTGTATATGCCCTCCCACATGGTTTCCCGGTCTTGTTTCTGGCAGAACTCCTTCCAACTCTTCACCCTGGCTACATTCATCTCTCTTTCATACTTCTCTTTTGCATCCATATATTGCTCGACTACCCATGTTTTGCGACTCGGTGCTGCCCATTTTATTCTTCTTTTTAGTTTGTTCTTTTCTTTCTTCATTCTCTGAAGCTCGTCGGACCACCACACAATCTTTATTTTACTATCTGTCTTTTTTGGTTTTATATGTTTATCACAATTTATTTCTATTAATTTGGTATATTTATTTATTACTAATTCTAATTGATCTATATTTACTATTTTATCTATTTCTATTTTGTTTATATTATTTTCTTTAAATAAATCTTGTATTCCTTTTTTATAATCTGTCCAGCTTGTTTTTCGTGTATTATATTTCCTAGTGGTTTTGTTATTTATATTACTATTCATTTTGTTATTTTTCAGTTTTATTTTAAAATAGATTGTGTTGTGGTCCGACGTTGTCACTTCATCCATCACCTTCCAGTCTAGCACCTTGTCCAGCATGTCTGTCGAGCAATAGGTCACGTCCACACAGCTCTTGTATTCCTTATTTAGGTTAGGTTAGGTTAGGCTTTTTTTTTAGTAAGATAGCTAATAGATACTATTACTAATTTCAGTGCTAATTACTACACTGAAATTAATAAATACAAATATTATAATGATATGGTTTAAATATTTCAAATTATTGAAGTGGTAGGTATTGTTCTGAGTCAGTTGGAATATATGAGATATATATAAACATATTAATATGTATAGAAATTTAGGTGAACGCAGATTTAAAGAAAAGCCAGATTAGAGACATGTTCTTCTAACCTAACCTTTTGTGTATATTATATTTGTTTGTTTACAGTTGTATATTCTTTAAAACACTTATTTTATATTTAATTGTATAATTATGTAAATATGTAGATTGTAAATTAAAAATAAATTGTAAAATAATAATTATAATAATTTGTAAAATTAAACATATGTACAAAATTGATTATGTATTGTTGAATTTTTTAAGGTCATTTATAATATAATTTAGATGTTTAAGAAATGCTGTTAGTGTTTCCTTCTTACTAGCAATATTCACGTAATCTCTTTTATCGAAGTTTGTTTATTCTACATTTCAAATCAAATTCATATCTGATCGTGGTATATCTCGGACAATGGTGTATCAGATGGTCCATGGTTTGTATAGTGTCAGAATCGCATGGGCAATATGGGTCATGAAATCTATTAAGATATTCTTTGTGGTATCCATGACCAGATATAAATTGGGTTGTAGCATGATGAATAGTTAGGTAAAAATTGTTTTGTATAAGTGCAGTTTCCTGTTGCATTATATAGATCTTCTATTTCTTTTTGCAGATACTTTTTATTCAATTGTTTGACAAACGATATTGGGAATTTCGCATAATCAGCTGGAACTTGCGACCCAGCAGCAGCTTTGGCCGCAATATCAGCCAATTCATTTCCGAAAATATTGTTGTGAGCATGCCCAAACAAATTTGATTGTTTGTCCTGAAGTTTCAATTTTGTGAATGTTATTAAAAGTTTCTATTGCATGCGGGTTAAATGTGTTAATATCGCATAAATCTTGAAGAGTAGATAGCGAATCAGTGATAAGAAAGGCACTGATTTTTTGTGTCTT